TTGAGATTTTTTAACAGGGAAGGCAACGGACACACAGAGTGATTGGTTGGGATTAGTGAAAGATAATAAAAAAGACAGCGAGAGACACCTTAAAAGAGATGAAAACGCATTCCTATTATCTAGCAGGAGACAATTCCCAGCGAACAACAGCCTGCATTTAGATGATGAAACGCAATGCAAAAAGTCCCTCTGTGGTTGGACCAACTTGTCCATTAAATATTAATTGTGATTACATTTTCTCACTTTCATCATGGCTTGTGAGTCAGGATGAAGAAGGAGCTGTCCTGTCATTTCGCACCCCTACACCCTCATGTGCCAAATGTCTTTCATGTTGGCCATAATGATCACATGCATCCCTGGGCATGGGGGCGGAGGAGGAGGAGCACAATTCAGGCCACAGTTAAGTGGACGTCAGTCTCCCATCTTTTGTAAGGCAAAAATATCCTAAGAAAGCATCCTTAACCTGGAGAGTAAGAAACAATAATACCAAAACACTCATCTTCAGCACGAATAAGAATGTACCTCTTTGAGCTCCTTTGCCACATCCTTAAGGTCTCCCAGGATGGTTTCCAAATTCTCCACGATGGTCTTGATCTCCTTTTTCACTTTTACTTTGGAGACTACTCCTTCAGCCTCCGCATGTGGTGTCCCTGACATTCTTCACTTCGTGACACTGTTGTCTATTTCGCGAAGGATCTCGGGTCAAATCCTTTGGTGAAGCCACTTTTGCCAGCGCATGTTTTTTTCCCCCCCCTCTCTCTGTCTCTCTCTCTCATTCAGTCCTCCGCTCCTCTCCACTTTCCGCTGCTGCTGCCTCTGCTACATCGCGGCCAGGACGAAGCGGAGTCGCGTCGGGGCAGCATTCCGGATCTCACACGGGGCATGCGCAATAGAGCGAAACACGAAAAATAACGGCTATCCGAATATCGTAGCGTAGTGTCAGAGAAGCGCCCGGCCACAGGTTTGTGAATCTAAGCGCACCTGCGTCCAACGGAGGCGAAGCACGACGCCACAAAAACATCTTCACCGACAGGGCGAAAGCCTATTTTGACATTTTTGAGAGAATTTGAGTATGGGTAATGAAATGATAATAAAAAGCTGCGTTAGCTATGGCAGAGGAGGGCAGGAAAGAAATAAGTAGGTAGCTATCCAAACCGTTACAGCCAGGGTCCGTAATCCTCAAGCATCGACAAAACATTGAAAGTCTCTCTGCCTCCTTCCCAACCAAAATAGTCGGTTCTGGTATTGATGCCAGTGGGTAACGACACCCCAGAGGCACTTTCCTGTGAAGCAACTCCCCGCCAGGTTCATCCTGTTTCCATCTCTGCCTCCTTGGAGAGTCTGAGGAAAGCAGCCAGCGTCGGGGCTCTCTGTCTCTCTCTCTCTTTCTCTCTCTCTCTCTCGCTTCACTTATACGCTTCACTCATATCGATGCTGACAATCTTTTTCTTTTTTTTTTCTTTTTTTTTTTTACTTTATTTTATTCCCCCCCTATATCACGTATTTATTATTATTAAGGGTTGCGTGGTTGTTATGGCCAGAAAGCTTAATTACATCCCTATAGCTTATCATTCCCAGAAGTACAACAATCAAAAGGATCCTTCAGTAATCAATTATTTATGTAATAGTTTAAATAAACCTGCCAATAAATACTTTAAATAAATAACTGGACCCATGATTTATCCAGCCAGTAAGTCCTGAATTCAAATCCCGATCTGGGGTCTTTCTGCGCGGAGTCTGCATGTTCGCCCCGGGTACTCCGGCTTCCTCCCACCAGGACTGGCACAAGTTGGTATGGTGAGAAATTTGTTCCGATGCAAATTGCAGGCAAAGAAATTCAGAAATTGACATTTGAAATAAACTCTAAATTAAAAACAACACATTGAGAGTGATTTACAATGTGCAGGCAATATTTGAACTTACACTTATTTGCCTTTTTTTTTAAACACATTTTTTCAGATCTTATTTTCAGATTTTTTTCTTTTATTATTATTATTATTATTATTATTATTATTATTATTATTATCTATCAGATTTTTTTTTTTCAAAAAGCAGTATGACTCAGGGGGCTCTCTTCCTGTTGAGAACATCCCCACCACTAACAGCGTTAAAATACAGATTTGGAGAATCTGGCACAGGAGAGCAAATATAATTGGATGAGCTTAAAGGCAATCACTGAAAACTGGGTATTTGCTGAGAGGTAAACTGAGCTCAAACACGGAGATTAAACTTATCAAATTGTAGCTATAGTAACACAACAATCAAGTTATGATTACTATTCTCTGCACTTTTATTAAGTAAACTTGACAATTTCTTTAAATCTTAAATTTAATGGATTTAGTGCTGGATTCAACACTATGTATGCTGAAAGTATTAAATTAAATTTAATAAATAGATTATAAATTATGTAAACAAATGTTAAAATTCTGGATTTATGGTTTGTTGTGAATTGAATCATTCCTTATTAGAGATGCAACTTTAAGACACTGTTCCACTCTTGTAGATAGTTTCAAGCTTGATTTTTTTGGGCTCCTCCACTTGTACCCTTTCATCTATTTTAGGCACACTACCTCATTTAGTTTCATACTCAGGCATAAGACCTCAGTTTGAATAAGCAGAAAAAGTCCAATGAAAGACACAGAGATACTTTTAAAAAATAAAAAAAACTTAATTCTCTGAAGTAGAGCACAAAGAAGCTGGATGATTTAGAACATTTGCACAGCACTGGATTTCTTACAAAGACAAAAATATGTGCCCAGTATGGGAACAATAAGCAGTGGTGAAGGGCAGCGGCAGTTTTCTTATACAATGTGCATGCAATGGAGCAAAGTAGAATAACAAATGGAGGACTTTCACTTACCACTCTTAGAGCTATTTTTATGCTGCCTTATTATTTTCTGTATGTTTACATCTACACACTGCTGGGCTCCCCTGCTTGTTCCACAGTCAAGAGAGGATGACAAGTTTATTTTGACAAGCTCAGAGTAAAACATGACAAGAACTTGGAGGATTCTGCAGTAGCAAGAACAGGGGAACAAGAGCTGTGAGAGGCATAAAAATATATACATGCACTTGAAGCCAATCTTCTTAAATGTGACTTACAAGTTATTGGAATCCCTTTTAGTTGCAATGTTTTATGTATTAGGATAAAAATATGTGAAATTATCAAAGTGATCATAAAAGGAAACAAAAAGACATAACACCAAGTCATTTTTTTAATCCACACAAACTATAAGCAAAATGGAGAAACAGCATTTGAAAGAGAAAGTTTATGTTGATTTATTTATAATGCGCCAATTCAGAACAGATTTATGAAACAACATAAAGTTGTTCCATATATATTCAATATACTTATTGAATATATATGAATATATATTATTCAATATACTTATTCAAGTATATTGAATAAGTATATTCAATATACTTATTGAATATATATGGTTATATTCAATATAATTTTTTATCGGTTCCAATTCAGTTCTGGTTAATCTGACTAATTAAAATACAATACAATCATATATTCATGTTGCAAACACTGAAACTCAAGCAACCTTTCAATATACTAAAGTCAAATGCAGACTAATTAAATAATTTAATCCCAAACGTTTTGCGTCTACTGAAGTCCATCTGACTTTACTGCAATACTTTGTCCTAAATAAGCATGTGGCAACAGTGGGGAGGAACAACTCTTTTTTTTTTTTTTTTTTTTTAACAGGAAAAAAGATTTCCTAAAAATTATACTTTGTATGACCAGCCATCAGTCCTGAGCGACTCGAATTTAGCGGAATGGGATTAATCCATGATCAAGAAGTAAGTAGCAGTCAGCTACTGATAATTAATTGAATTTTATTCTCTCCAATAATAAAAGAAAAATTCAGTATTTCTCAACCCTGGTCCTCACTGCCCCCCTGTCCTGCATGCTTTAGGTATTTCCCTTCTGCCACACACCTAAATTGTATCTCTGGGTGGTTAACAGGCTTACGGTCATGCAATCATTTAAATCAGCTGTTCTGGAATAGAGGCACATCTAAAACATGCAGAGCAGGAGGGCGGTGAGGACCAGAGTTGAGAAACACTGTTCTAATTCATGCTGTGTGAATGAAAAAACAAATACATGTATGGCTGTTTGGTCTAAAAGAATAAGTTGTAATTTAAGCTAACAATGCAAAAAAAAAAGAGATCATCATTTTCTAAAGGGAAAATTATCCGTGCATGCTCGTCGAACTAGTAAAGAAGCATCCTGACATTTTGATTCACTTTGAAATACTATAAAAAGTGTAACTTCTTGAAAGCAACATATAAACATTTAAGAAAATAATTTTTAAGTGTTGTTTGGGTGCATTGTGAAGCCAGTTATACTTAGAAAATGCATTGTAAAAGTTCTGAACATTTTGGAAACTGTGCATTTACATTTTCAAACTTGGAAGTCATACATCTGCCAAAATGGTTATTTCAAGTGTAAATATATATTTGTGTAGTGAAATTGTGTAGTGAAAACACATTGATGCCTCTGATTTAATCAATTAAGTATGGAAGCATTTGAGTTGTTTATCTGTTACTTCCGTCTATTTTTATGTACTGACTAGTATTTTTATGTGTTTATTTGAAACGGAGTAATAAGAAATGCCAGACTCCGTTTTTTTTTATATTTATATTTAACATATTTGATTATTTATTTGTCTTAATTAACCCAGTAAATATGTCTCTGTCTTTGGAAATGACACAGACATCACCCAAGAATAATAAGACCATTTATCTTTGTTGAATTGATCAACAGACGTCAGTGTTGAAGTTTGAAGACATGAATCAAACGAGAACAATAAAAACAATACACAAACAAACGCTGGTAAGAAATGTAAAATAATTACATTTGTTTAAAACATAAACGGCATTATTAAAAGTCGTTAGAGAACAAGAAGCACTGTTTTAAGACATTACATCAAACTGTACAGCCTCCTCGTGAAACAAAGCGTCGCTAAAACAGCGTCACCAAATCCAGGTATCTGATTGGTCAGGACTGAGACTCTCCCTCTTCATGCGGAAGTTGTAGTTCTCTGTCACTACTGTCACTTTCTAGCATTCAGTTCTGCAGGTGAAGCATCGGAGTCGGTCTGTCCCTGAAACGGAGAGTCCACAGAAATGTCTTTGTCATTCGAAGGAAGAGTGGCGCTTGTCACTGGCGCTGGAGGAGGTAAAACTGCAGCTCCGTGTGCTGTCCGTCACTTTAGATAGCATTTAGAGCTTTAGCTTCGGATGCTAACTGGCTAAATGTGGCTGACATTTGTTTGGAGAACTCTTTTAGAGAAAAGTTACGAAAGCAGCTTGTGCACCACACAGCTATTTTACGTTATATTACACGCCCATTTGTAAATCTGTATATTTTGCTGATTGCTGAAAGTGGCGACGAATCTGCAAAATTACTAGCAAATATATGTATAAAAAATCATTGTTATCATTAGATATTAAACACGTATGTTGCTGTTTTATGTTCAATAAGACTGTTTCATTTGTAAACTCTGGGAGCAAAGTGCAAATAACGCAACGACCTATTATTACTCTGCTGTAAGTGTGTGAAAGGGCACATGCATGAAGCAGCTCTTGCTGCTGGATTTGTTTGGGTCTGGTGAAAATTTTGCTTAACTTGTTTCATTTTTCTGTGTTCCTTTCTACAGGTCTTGGCAAGGAATATGCACTGGCCTTCGCTTCAAGAGGAGCCTCTGTTGTTGGTAAATAATTAATTGCATCTAAACTAATTGCTTGATTTTCAGAATAAAAGCCCTGCAAGCTTTGCACTCTGTTGACATGAATGGAAACGTTGTTACCTAGGGCAGGGGTCCCCAAACTTTTTCCTGTGAGGGCCACAAAACTTTTCCCTTCTCTGGTGGGGGGCCGGAGTCAGTTTGTAACAGAAAAAGTGTGACGATTGCAGGAGGCTTAAATGTAAAAATGTATTGTTTTCCAGAAAGCACAATCAAATAACCCTCTCTGGGTTCTTCACAGAATAAATCCAGGAAGGATTATAGTCCGTATTTTCCAAACTATGAGCCGCACCGTCCTATAAGCCACAACCCCAAAGTTTTTTTTTTTTAAACAGTAAACATACACATATAAACCGCAGAAATCTCTGCCGCCCCAGGTTTTCTACAACGATGCAGCAGAGGGGGGCGGACACCCAAAATTTGAGTAATAACAGGTCAATTGAATATCACATTTATTACAGTTGAAAAAGAAAAAGTTGCCACGTTTAGATTTAACTGAACTGATTACGGCAGTTTCCGAACGGTAACTGTAACAGTAAAAGTGCTGATCCTTCGTGTCTGCCACTAGCATGTGCTAAATGAAAATGGGCGCCTTCTTCTTCTTCTTCTTCTTTAGATTTCAACAGCAGCTTGCATCCATTATTGTTGCACTACTGCCATCTACTGGATCCTAATATCTATACCTCAAATTCTCATAATGATCCCAGTATTATTTAAAAAAAAAAATAAAAATCTTCTTTTTCCCCTCAATGCTGTTTAACTGATCAACAACATTCTCAAATTTCAATTCCCTATTAAAATCTAATTCCTTTTTAATGGGCG